AAATCTTTTAGTTTGCATGATTGGGTTCATCGCCGAGGTATACACTTATCTTTCGGGAATGTGTAATATTCACGGTATCGATCACGATTATGCAAACCATTAGACAAATGAGATCCATGTGATCTCATTTTTTTGAAAATTAAAACATACTACTTTCAAAACTTAAAGTATATACCTCTTACATTAAATTAAATTTCAAAATTATTTTCAAATTTCAAAATCAAAAAGTTGGCCGACACATAAAAGAATTAAAAGTATTATTATTCTATTCTAATAATGTTGGCGATTATTTTCCCTGTCTAATGTATATGGCTAGTTTTAAAATCATATAACTTCTAATTAAATTAAAAGTTTTTTGAGTTTTGAATATGTAATATTATTTTTTATTAAAGAGAAAATTGTAAAAAAGATTCTCGGACTATTTATATGGGGCTATTTTAGTCTTAACTATCTAATATGTTCAATTTGATCAATTGAATTCTCAAATATGATCAATATAATCTCTTTGGTTTTATTTGGATTAGATTTTTAGTGTAAGGTGATCAAATGGAACACCTTTAATAGCATGAGACTAAAACAAACCCCGATAAATAGCTTAGGGATCATTTCGGCCTTTTCCTCTGGAAATTAAGCAATTTACAAACATAGCACACAATTTTTATGTAGTTACATATCTCACATCTAAAATTTCATATTTACACACATAGCCCTCAATTATTTAATAGAACATCAAATTAGTACTATTATCATTTTTTTAAAAGTAAAATATGCATTTCATGAGTAGAATTAAAGCACCAAAGTGCTATTTATGTAAATAGAAAAATTTAGATGTGAGATATGTTAATACATAAGAATCATGTGCTAAGAATGTAAATTTCCCTAAAAATTATTTTAGATTTTGTTATTGGATATTATAATATTTAATAAATAATTGTGAAAGTATACTATTTGAACATATATTAACAATCGAAGTTACTTTTCTATGTTAAAATTGAAGTATTCAAAACTAAATTTAAAGTTAATATATGCTTTTCAATGGAGAGGATTTTTTTTTCTTTTTGATTCTTCTTATCAATTAAAGAACAGTTTAAGCAAAGATCACTAAGTGTATAAAGAATAGCTTAATTTTCTGTTTAAGTAAGTTTATTTGGACTTAAAATAAAATTTTACTTTTACTTGATTTGATTTTGATTTAAAAATGAAATCATTTTGAATCCAAGTTGATAACCATTTAATATCTAGTCGCCTAGTAGTTGATTTCAAGTTTGCCTAGAAATTCATTTTATTCAACCTTTTATATAATTATTCATATGATATTATTTATATATATATATATATATATTGAAAGCCCAAATGCTAATATATTAAAAAGAAATAAGGATACATATAGATTTTGTGGAAGAGTCCAAGCATGACACGCTTTCCCCTAGAGATCCCAAAAATGGCACCTAGCCCACACAAAAACTACCATATCAAATGGTTTCAGAAAAGAGAAAACACAACTAATACTTAAGAGATCTAAAAAAATAAAAATTAAAAGTGTCAAAATAGGAGTATCGGTAGCTTGAGAGCGACCAAATTTTGTTTTGCCTCTGCCTCTAGTTCTAGGGAAAAAGTTCGTTAATAAATTGGTCAGATGAGTGTCATTGTCAGTAGTAACTAATGTATCATCCAATAGATTCCCTAGCTCGTGTCGTCCTCCTTTCTTCTTCGTCCTCCTCGTGTAGGCATTTCATTCCTCATCCGATGATTGACTCACCTAATCAGCAGAATGGTCTGAAGTGTGCAGAATATGTGTAAGTTGTTGAACATTAGAGGCAACTACTTGTTGTACTACCTGATCTTCTTTCCGATCGAAAGAACACTCTTGTGTGTCTTGACATGTAAGTGAGACTTTTTCAATAACGGTAAGTGGTATCAGAACATTTGGATCTGTACCTTTAGTAAGGTGTTCTTCATCTGGAACTGCGATGTTGGAAAGAGGATCGAATTGCACTTTCTCAGCAAGGATGTTGAATGGCTGATCTTTAGCGATATTCAGCCTTAAATGAAGATGGAAGCGATAACAAATATTAGAACTGTGGCCAAACATACTACAATGTGAGCAATAAGGATGATGTGATTTTATTTCAACCTTTTGCCAATACCCGCTGTGAATAGTGTCAATCCATATCTCTTCCGGAGTTGGTTGAGTTATATCTCTCTCAACTAATACACAAGCCACAGAAGGTCTGATGATAACAAGCGTAAGACTATCCACCTTGAGAGGCTTACCGTAAACAGTTGCTAAAGAGTAGAGGATTTCCATGCTAAACAGATGTAATTTTAACCCCAGAAATTTTATCCAAAGTGGAATGACAAGGGACTCTACTTTTGGATCAAAACCGACAATTTACTTCAGAATTTTCATAAAACGATTGTTGATCTTGATAACTTTTCGAGAGGAAATGCGAGTGCAATCGACATCGTAAGATAGCTGAATAAGTATATGTCGACCGTCAAGTAGGCCAATGTGCAGGGCATCAAACCCCTTTCTAATTATCTCCAGTTTTGGGTGACCATAAAGGAATTTCCCCACAAGGGCAAAACGCCAAGAAGACGTGAGAGTACCAGTTTCCTCCTCTGTGAGAATAAGTGCACGCTTTCCTTTTTTTTTCCAAGTTTTTTAATAAAAGTGTGATCATCTCCACCTTCAAGAGCCTCGTGGAACGATTGTGAAAGGAGAGGACAAGTCGCCGACAGGACTTACCGATAGCAAAACTATACTCTGAACCTGGAGGAGAGGCACTAGCAGAAATGGGCAAGTCACCAGCAAGGGCATTTGCATAGGAACGAAGCATCGAGGCCATCTCCCTGACAAGATGGTCATAGTCAGGAGAGAAACAGTTTGGTGGGCTGCAAAGAAGCGAGCAAACCGGGCGTTGTCGGGCGAGGAGACAGCCGCAATGTCGTCGGCTACGGGAGACGAGACAACCGTGATGTCGTTGACTATGGGAGACAATTGCGAGAGAAAGCGACGTCTTCAATGGAATCAGGCGACGACGGCAGGAGCGATTCTTGTCGACAATGGAGACGACTTGGAGCGCTCGACTTCAACAGGAGAGAAAGGGAGCTGCAGCTCCGTGAGCGTCGTCGTGGGAGACGCCAAAGAGAAGCGATTAAGCTGATAGTCACCGTTCCGTCGTCTTCGTCGTCTCTGCTAGGGCAGCCATGGTAGGATGAGTGTTTATATATAATTATCCTTTTAGTTCATTTTTCATTCAATTTGACCTAAACGTATTCGAGTTGGGGTAAACTAAACGAATTTTGAATTTAAGAGGGGAGCCTATAATTGTCTAAAAATTTATTGCTAAGCCAAGTGAAACTTTAGAGCAAGTACCAAGTAATTTTGATTTTCAGTTTTTTTAATAACTACAGATGCTGCTTAATCATTTCAAAAATATAGTTTAAAAATAGAAAAAAAGAACATTTAATTTTTTTTTAAGGAAATATGTAATCCCATTTTTGGTATTTTCTTGTATTTAGTCAATGTTAAGAGTGCTTCACTTAGCTTTGTGCAAATATTTTTTATTTCTAGGTTAAAATCATGAAAAGAAGTCACATAAAGGGCTATCAAAGATAAACAAAGATTCTAAATTGCTAAATTATTTGAAATTTTGATTTAATTGAATACAACCCAAGTCAAATTCTAACATATAAAACAGTATAACATATGCGTAATTTATTTATTATATGAATAATCATATAAAAATCAGATAAAAGAAAATATATTCTTAAAATTAATTTTTTATAAATTAAGGAGAAAATTCAATTAGTAGAATAATATAGAATAGGTAGGTATGATTAGAATTGGTATTGCATACATATAGTTTGTCATTTTTTTATGTTTAAACATTTGAATATTGCTTAATGATTTGTTATATATATATATATATATATATATATATATAGGTTTTGATTTGTTATATTTGATTTATACCTTTTCTTAAATAGGAAATGTTGTTTTTATCTCACTATAGAACTAAAAAGTATGAAAGAAATTAAGAGAGCTCATAATGGTTTAATTTAATTTCGTAATATGAATAATTGTACATAAAATCAAATGAAAGAAAATATAATTTTCAATTTCATTTTTAATTAAATAAGGAGAGAATTCAATAATCAAAATAATACATAATAGGTTGATATGATTAGAATTGATATATTTAATTTTATCCTTTTTCATGTTTATTTTTTTAAAATAGCTTAATATATATTTTTTTAAATTGAAAATGTTTTTTCTCTTACCATATTATTAAAAAATTTGAAAAATTTAAAGAGAACTCGATTTTAATAATGAATCTCTCTATTTGTTTAAGAGTTAGATGCGTATGAATGTGCAGAGTGGGGTCATGGTTCCTTTGGCTGTTTTTTTTTTTTCTTTCTATTTTCTGTGATGTTACCTCGTCAAAACTATTGCTCCCTATGGTGCTTTCTTTGTTTTTCAAGCGTCATCCTTGATTATATGCCTCCTTTGGCTTATTTCTTTTGCCTGCTTTTGTAGTATGATGTGTTTTGGATGAAAAAAAGTAGGATGCTTTTTTTTTTTTAACAATTTTCATTATTAAATGAGTTTTTGACAGCAATATGAAGACTATGGCCCATAAAATAGCTTTTTTAAAGCTCTATTTGTACAAACACAAAACAACATAAGCTTGGTCAAAATCTTTTATTTGAAATATTGTTCAGATTTTAATATTTTCTTTTCTGCTTTAAGAAGGCTTAACTAAAGGTAGGTTTAAAACTTTGACGCAATTTAGTGACCAAACTCACACAGATACATGTAGTTTTAAAATATCAGTCCCTTTGTCACCATCAGTTGTTCATTTTCAACCCACCAAAAAAAAGATTATAGGCGACAATAAGAGTGTCAATTACCCTGACAAAGAAGGAATGTTGCAGGGTCGATATTCGTCTCATCTAACATTGTGACATCTGTTGAATTTTTCCTGTCATTTCAGGGTGAAGTCAATGCTATTAAATGGGATCCAACTGGTTCTTTGTTAGCTTCATGCTCTGATGATGGAACAGCGAAGGTATTATTTGGAACTCTACATATTGAGATAAATAATTGCTCGTACGTAGTTCATTTACCTGTCTTCATGCTGATTTTATTTCTCAAATATATACATTGTTTGCTTGTATTATTTGAACATGTTAATGTTGTCCTCTCAACTAATTTTTAGTATATATCTAGCAATGTTTTGTTTCGATATAATGTTCAATTCTTTTAATATTGAGCCACATCATTTTATTATAAGGTTTGACCTGCCTTGACCAATGATTTTACTTGAATTTGTCATTCTTTATAAATGCACACGAGAGATTGTTTCAAGCACCTATTAAGGATATGATTTTGGAAAATAGACTGGGTGATTTAGGCTTGCTGAATTGAGATTAGTAGATGTATCTAATGTACCATTAAGGTTAGTGGTGCAAGCGAGATGAAACTGAGAAAAGTTATTATGCATTTGTGTTTCGCTTGTTTGAGTTTTGTCTGTTCAAAATCAGCCCATGTTCAATATTACTCTTTGATATTGTGTTCTCATCTTACATGTTCTAATTTGAGTTGAAGATGATACAATCATTCTATTTATCTTTTAACCAATTAATTAATCTAACAAACTTAAAATTCATAATATATAATTTAAAAACACGCATATCTTGAGCAAATAACAAGTTGAACTCGGTCAAGCAATGTTTTGTGTTTAGCTCATTAAGTAAACATGCTTGAAATAATTCTTCAATATCACCTTGCTTAATTAATGAATGAATTTCATTAACCTGTATAATTATTCAGGAATTGTTTCAACTTTTTTGCTTAGTTGGATTCTTAATACTAAATTGTGTAAATCTCACTATGAAATTGAATGCACCGCTGCTAGTGATTTTCTCACTTGTGGTTGATGGAGTTGATGGGAAAAGAAAACCGTGCACATCGGTGCTCAACGACAATATCATTTTTGATCATGTATGTTGTGGTGTTAAAATGAAGTTGTGTGGTACATCCTTGGTGCCATCTTCATTGCGCTGAATGATGCACCAAAATGATGCGTGCTATTTGCACATGCATGGTCAATGATGCTTCTTGTGTCGCTCCCACGGAAGTTGATTTTCAAAATTCTATATATATATATATATATATATATATATATATCATATATATAACGATGGCGCTCGGTCCGCTCTCGCTTGCACTTGTCATCCGTCGCGTAGAGCTCCACTCTCGCTTTTATTATTTTTTTTTTTGCTTTATTATCATGATGTTATATATTCGCGTAGAGCTCCACTCTCGCTTTTATTTTTTTTTTTTTTGCTTTATTATCATGATGTTATATATTTTTTAATTCAATAGCCTGTCATATTTATTTCTATTTTTATTTATTAGTTTTTAAATTTTTTGTCATGTTTAAATTGAGATGTATTGCACTGTACACTTTGTGCTATGATTCTGTGATGACCTTTATGCTATGGTGCGTCATTCGCCGTTGAAAACATGTCAGTGACTACTCCATTGATAGTTAATAGATGGCAGGTAGAAATGATCAACAATGGGTGACAATTGACTTTAGGTAGCAAGTGAGAATTATTACTCGACAATGAGTTGTGTTGGGCTACTAATGACAAGTTAGTTAAGATAGGCGAGTCAAAGGATTAGACCTCAAGTAAAAGGTTTAATTTTTGCAACTAATGTACGAGGCTTTGAAAATTTTCTGATATGCTTATGATGTTTATGCTCCCTTGATTAATCAAGATTAGAACAAAATGGTAGAAATCTTCTTGCATGCAACTTGTGTTTGTTGGGAAGAGGTGGGATGAGCAACTTTTTTGGTTAAGGCTTGAGTTTATAGCTTCGGTTGATTTCTATTAGAATATTTAATTTAGGAATCACCTTAGTTCTTACATATTGGCGAGCTCAGCAGGAATACTAAAATGTCCTTAAACCTAGTATAATGTCATGCCATGATTTCATAAACAAATTATAGTAGTGATGTCAAGGTTATAACAAACCCTAGTAGTTTGGCTAGGGTTATGTGATAAATGGGCATAAGGTCAAGGTTGATTATGATTGTTTACAAAATAGGCTGGACTATTGTCCTTATTTTAAAAAAAGAAAATAATCAAATTAGGAGTTTGGTACAAATAATCTAACTTTATTGAAGAGATGATAAGAGTGGCATTTATGGAATAGAATATGGTGAAAAATAGAAGGTGATTTAGAATTGCACAGTGGATTGTAGAATATACATCGTATAGATAAATTTTGTGTCTAATGATTAGTAAAAAGAATTATTAGACATAAGATATTAAGAATAGAATTTTCTCAACAAGTCTGAGCAAAATATGTTTGAACAAATCATTAGCGAGAATGAATGAAAGTGAGGACCTATATAGTCATAAAAAACGGTTGAGATTTGTATTCCGGATGGTATAAAATGAATCGAGTAAATGAATTTGATGTTTATGGATTTTGAAGGAAAAAAGAAAGGCTTGTGATTGCAAAGATGGAATTTATTCTAATAGCTTTTGAACATAATGGGTTTAATATAGTTGTGTGATCATGTGGAGGAGCTTGAATGAGCTTCGCATTTGTTCATATTCTATTCATTAAAATTTTATTTTGTTCAAACTTCTTATGTTTGTGTTGGATTTATTTTGTTCAGCTCGAATTTCAAAATTTAAGTTTTTCAAGTATTTTTAAAAAATCAATCATACATGAGCAAATGCATATATAAAAGAATTTGGAATTTATTACATTTAAAGAAATCATGACAGCTACTGTAAATGAAAAAGAAAGTCAAATTTTATAACCACAATAACAAATTACTATTCAAATTTTACTATCATGAAGTAATGATCTAAATTAATTTATTCATTTGATTGATTACATTTCAAGTTATCTTAATTCATTTAATAGACCAATTACTCTATTACAGTTTTTTTATTTGCAAATCACTTTGGCCTATATCTCATATTTTGTTGCTCTGCTCTCATATCCATGCAATTCCTGAACAATTCCCTAATTCTCTATAAGTCTAATGGTGAGAGTGATAATCCGTTAGTAAATAACCTAAGCTGAAAAAAAAAACTAGAGGTGGCCAGCTATGCATAAGAAATATGACCAATGAACATGAAATTAAATAGCATGCCTTTTAGATGAGTCGCACTAAACCTCTTAGCCATACATCTAATTAAAGAATTAGAGGGTCAGATTAAAACTTGTACGTTTTAACTCTTGTATAAAGGTTGCACATTTGCACTAGCCATGTTGATTGATATACCAACCATAAAAGATTGAAATACATAAATTAGGCGTCTAATAAATTTTCTATTTTTTCATATTTCCCCCTAATCAGATTCATGATGGAATCAATTGTATTCATCATATTTGGTTTTCTGATGATTACACTACATAAGAGCAGTCTCAAACATAAAGTAAGTTGACATCAGGTCTTCACATTATACTGAAATCAACAACAAATAGTTATCTATATTTATTTATTCCTGAATTTCAGTGCTTTTCTTTTCTATATGTGATGTCTACATTACTGCTCCAACAATTGTGCTGAAAAATCTATCTGCCACAGACTATCTTAAATTTTCCTGTAATAAATCAGCGATATATTCTTTTTTTTTTTTCTTGAAGGATGACATTTATACATTTTTTTTTTTTGTCAGATATGGACCCTGAAGAATGATAAATGCTTGTATGACTTTAGGGATCACGTTAAGGTTTTTGCTCTATCTTTCAAGCCCTACTTTCTTCGCATTACAACGACGTTGCTTCTATAACACGTCACTGAATTGTTTCCCTCAGGAGATATATACAATTAGATGGAGCCCCACAAGCTCGGGCACGAACAACCCTAATCTGCCGCTAATACTGGCTAGGCGAGTATACAACAGTGTAGCGAATAATGCATGGAATAATTATCTACATTTTATTCATTTATGTGAAATTTCAAATCTAAAACAGAATATGAAAGTAATTGCATTGATTTGAAGTTCCGCTCGTAGTCGGATATATTGGAAATTTACATAAATACCACACAATTCTTATATATTTACATATCTAGTACATAAAGTTTGATAGTCACACTTATTACACTATGGTTTTATAAACCTATGCTTGAAAAGGTATATTTCACATTTTAAAAATTAGTAATGGTGGTAATTTTCATATGATGTTAAAGTTTTGAATGCTATGCATAACAATATGAAAAAGTTCAGATGTTAGATATGTAAATATATAAGAATTGTGTGTTATGTGTGTAAAGGCCCCTCCGGTATATTGCAAACTAGGTGTAATCCTTATATTTAAGTAACTTCTTGTTTTGGCTACCAAAAAACTTCACTTGGTTCGTTTGAATTATTTCATATGAACTATATTATTAAAAATGGTTTGAATTATTTCATATGAACTATATTATTAAAAATAGGGGCATTTACATGAATACCACAGCATTCTTATGTATTTACATGTCAGACACCTAAACTTTAATATTTACATTAACAAGGCTCAAATCCTTAACATTACATCAAAAATATCATTTCACTAATTTATTAAAAGTGTGGTGCGCATGTAAATTTCCCTTAAAATAAAATGTCAAAAACCTTGAGCTCCATTTTAGGTTTGTAATTCCTTTCATATTTCTAATGTTATGCTTGATTTTCATCAAATTTTGTCATTAACTCCACATTCTTTCCTCATGCAGCGCTTCGTTTGACTCGACCATTAAGCTATGGGAGATGGATCGAGGTAGTCTTTTGCACAACCTGAATGGTCATAGGTAATGCTATCCATCTCATATTCTTGAATAATGATCCGAGTACTTAATAATAATATCATTAATTAAGCCATGATTCCAGCTAGGAAGATTCAACTGCACAACCTGAATGGTCATAGGTAATGCTGACGATCTCATATTCTTTAATAATGATCCGAGTACTTAATAATATTATTAATTAAGCCATGATTCCAGCTAGGAAGATTCAAATGCATACCACTCAATTCTTAAGTATTTACATAATTAACGTCCAAACTTCAATTTTCAACATATCTTCCACCTTACCTATCCATAAAAAGGTTAAGTTTATGAGTTAGATATGGAAATACAAAAAGGTTTAAATACATATGTATGTAAAAGCCATGATTCCGACTAATACAAAATGGCATGACCAGGCAACCTGTATATAAGAAGTTGGTGGTATGTATGTAAAATCCATGATTCCAACTAATACAAAATGGCATGACCAGGCAACCTGTATATTCTGTGGCCTTCAGTCCAAACGGTCTGTTTCTGGCCAGCGGCTCGCTCGATCAAAGCCTCCATCTATGGTCTGTGAAGGAAGGGAAGCTGATCAAAACATACAGTGGCGGTGGGGGGATTTTTGAAGTCTGCTGGAACAAAGAAGGAAACAAAATAGCTGCCTGTTTCTCTAACAACACGGTTTGCGTAATTGATTTCAGAATGTAAAATCTTTAATTGTTGTGGTTTTGTTGCAATTTCTTCAGCTTTGGTTAGGCCTAACTGTAACTTTTGTAGTAGCTTTCGCTTTCTCCAATGCAACTAAAGCTGTGTTGGATTGTAATGTTGCCTTTGTTGTTACTGAAGACAATTTATAAATCAATGTGTATTATCAATGTTGCCTCTTTTTGAGGGCCTCATTTTACTGCTTGATGTTTGATGATGTCATTTGATTGTATTGATTATTTTATAATATGGAAAAAAAATTTTGGAGAGGTAATTTTCTGGCCACATTATTTGATAAGGCCTCATTTTACTGCTTGATGTTTGATGATATCATTTGATTGTATTGATTATTTTATAATATTGAAAAAAAAATTTGGAGAGGTAATTTTCTGGCCACATTATTTGATAGAAACCTGCTTAAAATGTGTGAATAATAAGCATTTTAGTAAACACTAATTCAGGCTTTTTAACAGAAGATGTTAATTTACAAAAGGGCCAACCAATTCTTGTGTATTGACATATGTAAAACCTAAAACCATTATTTTTTACATTCATAGCACCCTAAACTAATAGAAGGGGCATTTACATGCATGCCAATATAAGATCGTTTTTTTTTTATTATTCAAATTGTATTCTAGAAATTTTAATACTTTGATATTACTTCTGAGAATCATATTTATTAGTGTGATAGTTATAAAAAAAAAAGTTATTTTAGTTTTAAAAAATAGGAATAATTTGACCACCACCGATGCGTATATATTAAAGATTGGCTTGAGGCTATTATATTAGAGGTCGAGCTCTTAACCGTCACACCAGCAGGATCAAACCCCAGCATTGAGGATTTAGAACTGACATAATAGATGACAATCAAAGAATTGGAGAACACAACACAAATATATATATATATATATATTCTACCGATTAAGATATGAAACATACACAATTTTATAGTATGGCATTGTATGTGAATGCCCCCTTAATAAAAAGACCCATAATTTATAATCTTACATTTACATGCCATGATATCAAAGATCTGAATAGCATAGACGCAAAGAAAAATGATCCATTTCTCTATATAAATATATAAACTGTTGAACCGATTTGCCATCACATTACATCAACCAAGCAGATATAATTCTCACCTCAAAATAAAATTTAATAATTATAAGTTCCATCTTTAACTCAAATCTTCTCCCAATAGTAACAACAACTTAGTCAAATAGAGCATTTGATTTGGGCAATGAATTCAGCAAAAGCACGACATTTCTCATCCTCATATCTGACTGGAAAAAAGCTCAACAGAAAATGCACTTTAACTACTGCTACTGAACAAAGTGAGTGAAATTCCATAAATTTTCTGAGCCGTTTACATCAATATTAAAGGTACATAATCCGCTGTGGATTACAGATGCAGTCTAAAGCAACTACTCCAATTTCTTTTCGGTCTTGCTGCCAAAATCTGTACTGTTTGAATCTCTATTTTCGTTAGCACTAATCTTAGATTCATCATACTCCAAAAACTGCACAGCACAAAAAATAAATACACTTGGTTCATCATCCCAAAACTAAATTGTGTAATAACATCAACAAGTATGATAGAAAGTCCTATATATGTATTGGATATTGCTTGCATTTATCTAATTCTTTAATTATCAGCTGTTCAAAATGTTATATTTGACCAATATTAATGATTTCTCACTTTCCATTGGGAAGTGCACCAAACATCCATATTGCCAGAGTTAATATGTGTTATTTGAACTAGCGACCTCACGGTAAGAAACTACAGCCTCAACCATTATGTAATGAATAAGCGCACTTCAGGTGAGTCAGTTAGAGAAGGTTCCTCTAACGTATTAAATGTTCATTCAACAAATATCAGAGATGATAATAAAGCGCTCTGTCTGACCTCTAATACAATCATTTAGCCTCAATCTATGTACATATAAACTACTACACCTTGTATCACTTTGATTATGCATTGATATGATTGTGATCCATATGAACTCGCCATCTTTATAAGCTAATTGGTGAAGTCAGAGAGAGAGAGAGAGAGAGTGTGTGTTATTTATTTATTTTATAAATTAAATATATACCACCCAATTCTTACATATGTATGCACCTAACACTTCAATTTTACGTTTTATATTTATAGCACTCAAATATTTTGTATCATATAAAAATATCACTATTTTGATTTTTAAAAAGTGAAATGCATTTTTTAATGCATAGAAAATATAAATTATACGTAAAAATTGAAGTTTAGGTGTTAAGATATGTAAATACATAAGAATTAAGTGGTGATCTCATCCTTCCTAAAATTTACAAAGCAAACTTCACCAAAGAACCTAACCACTATCTCCACCATTATTCTCTCCCACACACAAAGCATGATATGTCAAATAGTCTTCCATGGCTTTACCGGTCTAACTTTATTCATGGGGAAATTTACATACATAACTCCTAATTGTTATGTATTTACATATCTAACACCTAAACTTTGCTTTGTTACATTTTTACCACCTAAATCTTTCATATCACATCAAAATACCACCGCATTAACTTCTAAAGGGTGGAATACACCTTTTCATGCACAGGGAAGTCTAGTGTTAGATATTTAAATACATAAAGTGGTATGTATGTAAATTTTCTTTTTTTCATATCATACCACAGCTTAAAAACATGAAGGAAAAATTACATTCATACCACACAATTCTTATATATTTACATATCTCACCTCAAATTTGATAATTACACTTATAACACTTACTTTTTATAAATCTATGCATGAAAAGATGTCATTCACTTTAAAAAGTTAACAATTATGATATTTTTATGTATTAAAGTTTTGATTGTTATAAATGTTTAGATATGTGAATACATAAGAATTGTGGTATGTAATTACATGCCCCAAAAATCAATTCATCCCTAAACACTACTGAACCGAATAAGGATGGATGAATAGCAAAAAAATAAAAAGAATAAACATGCAACATAAGAATTAAGTGGTGATCTCATCCTTCCTAAAATTTACAAAGCAAACTTCACCAAAGAACCTAACCACTATCTCCACCATTATTCTCTCCCACACACAAAGCATGATATGTCAAATAGTCTTCCATGGCTTTACCGGTCTAACTTTATTCATGGGGAAATTTACATACATAACTCCTAATTGTTATGTATTTACATATCTAACACCTAAACTTTGCTTTGTTACATTTTTACCACCTAAATCTTTCATATCACATCAAAATACCACCGCATTAACTTCTAAAGGGTGGAATACACCTTTTCATGCACAGGGAAGTCTAGTGTTAGATATTTAAATACATAAAGTGGTATGTATGTAAATTTTCTTTTTTTCATATCATACCACAGCTTAAAAACATGAAGGAAAAATTACATTCATACCACACAATTCTTATATATTTACATATCTCACCTCAAATTTGATAATTACACTTATAACACTTACTTTTTATAAATCTATGCATGAAAAGATGTCATTCACTTTAAAAAGTTAACAATTATGATATTTTTATGTATTAAAGTTTTGATTGTTATAAATGTTTAGATATGTGAATACATAAGAATTGTGGTATGCAATTACATGCCCCAAAAATCAATTCATCCCTAAACATTACCGAATAAGGATAGATGAATAGCAAAAAAATAAAAAGAATAAACATGCAAAAATGCAGGATTAATGAGCTTGCTTTACCAAAAAAAAAAAGACATGTAATTCGAGTAATTAAAGAACAAACCGGCTTCACTTCACCATGCCATATGCAATGGACTGCTACAAACCCAACCACACAAGGAACTATATAGAGGAGAGCAGGCTGCAGATTGCAGAGAATAAGACAGCATGAGTAAGGATCGAAACAGAAATGCTATCGAAATAAAACGTATCGAGAAAAGTCTCAAAATGGTTCCTTGACTCTTTGCAATGGGGCATTTTAGTCCCAGAGTCAATAAAAGCGTCAATTTAATCCCCTATACTCTTTTAATGGAGGCTTACTTATGGGGACTAATATCACAATTTTATAGACTCTGAGATTAAAACGATAATGTAAATAGTCAGGGGACTATCTTGGCACTTTACTTGAACTGTATAAAGCTCCAAGAACTCACCTGTGCAGCCTGAAACCAGTTCATCACAACTATTGTGAGAACCAGACCAACAGTGTAGCCAAGAAAAGCACTGTTAAAATAACGATTTTGTTTACCCCTCGTGACATCAAAACGCAAAGCCAAAGCGACAAAAATACCTGCAAGCAAATTTGAGCCAAAAATGATAATGTGGAAGGACAGAGAAGAACTAAACAAGAAATGGAATACCAAAAAAAACTAATATATGTTTCATAATATGAACTGAATATGGCATTTTTCTTCTCTTGAAAGATACCGCTTTACTAACTTTTTAAAAGTGCAATGCACCTTTTCATATAGAGGTAAATTGTTATGAATGTCTGAATCAAAGTTTAGGTGTTATGTATGCAAATACATAAGAATTGTGTCATAGGTATTGGTAGGTATGTAAATCTTCAAAAAAATAGTATAAAAATTCTGTCCATGCCTTATGACTTGTGCAGAAAACCTTATCACAGCAGAAAATGTAAAACTATCTAAGAGTGAATTTAGATAGTTCTCAAGAGCTTCTACATACCACCGTCCCATCGCTGTTTGGCTATGACTTTCTAACTTGTTTTAAAAAAATTGTGTGGTGAGAAGCTTTTCACAATAGCATTTTATGGTTTTCTTTCATAAAAGTTATCTCACCTTTCTCTAGGAAAAAATATATAATATCCATAAGATTTTACAGTTTTTTTTTTTTTTTAATGCATTACTTCTATTGAGCTGCAGCACCCTGATAATGTAATTAATGGTTTAACATGTGAATAATTTTGCATAAGAAAAACTAATATATGTTTCATAATATGAACATAATATGGCATTTTTCTTTTCTTGAAAGATACCGCTTTACTAACTTTTTAAAAGCACAATGCACCTTTTCATATAGAGGTAAATTGATATGAATGTCTGAATCAAAGTTTAGGTGTTATGTATGCAAATACATAAGAATTGTGTCGTAGGTATTGGTAGGTATGTAAATCTTCCAAAAAATAGTATAAAAATTATGTCCATGCCTTTATGAATTATGCAGCAAACCTTATCACAGCAGAAAATGTAAAACTATCTAAGAGTGAATTTAGATAGTTCTCAAGAGCTTCTACATACCACCGTCCCATCGCTGTTTGGCTATGACTTTCTAACTTGTTTTAAAAAAATTGTGTGGTGAGAAGCTTTTCACAATAGCATTTTATGGTTTTCTTTCATAAAAGTTATCTCACCTTTTCTCTAGGAAAAAATATATATTATCCATAAGATTTTACAGTTTTTTTAAAAAAAAAATGCATTACTTCTATTGAGCTGCAGCACCCTGAGAAGGTAATTAATGGTTTAACATGTGAATAATTTTGCATAAGTCGAAGCAATTTCTCTAATGCAAGAACCCTAATATTTTCTGATGCCATGAACATCATCATACTAACCCTACCAACAAGTTTGAGTTGGCTTTATCGAGTGTTGAAATGAATTTGTCAGTCTTTGTACACAATTTTGAGTCAAATTATTTTTCATCTATCCTTTTTACATCTATATTTTTCCTTCATTTTCCCAGGAAATTCTTGATGCCGGTATAGAAAATGTGAAAAGCAATCAAGTATGACGTAAAGCGTAGCATCTAAACAAAACAAGAACTAAAATTTCATGAATATAGCGCACAACTGCCAAGCTCATAACTTTTTACATCTATATTTTTCCTTCATTTTCCCTGGAAATTCTTGATGTTGGTATAGAAAAAGTGAAAAAGCAATCAAGTATGATGTAAAGCGTAGCATCTAAACAAAACAAGAAAAAAAATTTCATGAATATAGCGCACAACTGCCAAGCTCATAACTTTTTACATCTATATTTATCCTTCATTTTCCCTGGAAATTCTTGATGCCGGTATAGCAAAAGTGAAAAAGCAATCAAGTATGATGTAAAGCACTAAAATTTCATGAATATAGCGCACAACCGCCAAGCTCATAACTTAAGAAAAACATCATATGTGACTTCAGTGGTCTAAATAATGTATTTTCCTCACCAGAAGTATAGCGCCGGTTTTAAATGAGCCCAAAGATAGCATCTCAATTCCCTGAAAAAAAAAAAGAGCATGGTCAATGTATAAGTATGAACGTAAGCAAGCATTAAAAAATAGGGGGTAAAATATGAAGCTAAAGCTGGTTTCTTAGATTAATATTTCTTAGACTTTGTTTCAGACTGCTATAGTTTTTTGTATAAAACTGTGGTGACGAAATCGATTTTTTAGAATGCTACAATGAGATTTATAAGTATTTATCTATTCCATAAAGCAAGAAAATAGCTTCCTTACAATTACTGCACATTAACAATCTTATTACAAAAAAATAGTTTTCAACCACAAAAATATTTAGAAAGCAACGGTTACCCAAATAGAACTATGATTGCAGTAACAAAAAGTTCTCACAAACAGAACTTTAGTTATTAAAGATAAATTCCATCATATTATGCTATTTTCTTAACAATAGCAAGTCACATTCTTGCCACTAGAAACAAATACTTCGCTTTAATAGATTTAAGGAATGAGATTAATCCTAAATTTTTCTTTTCAGATTTATGTTGTTTCCTAATGAGGTTCTCTTCTAAACCTATCCATTCAGTGTGGCAGCCCTGGAGCACATCAAATTTTTTATTAGAAGTTCAAACTAATAAACATCACAAGGAAATAAAACTCGTCCACATACAGCAAAGGTCAAAAATCTTATACAGCCAGAAAGCATTCTTCCAGAGTGAATCTCTTTGAGAACTCATTAAAAAAGCTGCCTCATAGCTTTGCAACATGCTATATTACTTGAAATTGAAATCGTAGCATGTAAAGAGTAAAAGAAAAAAATAGCAAGTTAGAGATGTCAAGACTAAAAAAACTAGTAAATTGCAAAATATCGAGTACAAAATCCATGTTTAGAGATTGACTTAGGATCCATTTTGCACAGTTTTTTCACAACTTTGCTTTTTAGAAAGCAGCCAATTGTTTGTTTTCATACAATTTTCTTGTTGGCTTTAGAAATTTCTATATCGACGAGCAATCTTTTCACAAGAAAATATACTAAAGTGGGATAATTATAAAGCAGCCAATTGTTTGTTTCCATACAATTTTCTTGTTGGCTTTAGAAATTTCTATATCGACGAGCAATCTTAAAGATAAATTCCATCATATTATGCTATTTTCTTAACAATAGCAAGTCACATTCTTGCCACTAGAAACAAATACTTCGCTTTAATAGATTTAAGGAATGAGATTAATCCTAAATTTTTCTTTTCAGATTTATGTTGTTTCCTAATGAGGTTCTCTTCTAAACCTATCCATTCAGTGTGGCAGCCCTGGAGCACATCAAATTTTTTATTAGAAGTTCAAACTAATAAACATCACAAGGAAATAAAACTCGTCCACATACAGCAAAGGTCAAAAATCTTATACAGCCAGAAAGCATTCTTCCAGAGTGAATCTCTTTGAGAACTCATTAAAAAAGCTGCCTCATAGCTTTGCAACATGCTATATTACTTGAAATTGAAATCGTAGCGTGTAAAGAGTAAAAGAAAAAAATAGCAAGTTAGAGATGTCAAGACTAAAAAAACTAGTAAATTGCAAAATATCGAGTACAAAATCCATGTTTAGAGATTGACTTAGGATCCATTTTGCACAGTTTTTTCACAACTTTGCTTTTTAGAAAGCAGCCAATTGTTTGTTTTCATACAATTTTCTTGTTGGCTTTAGAAATTTCTATATCGACGAGCAATCTTTTCACAAGAAAATATACTAAACTGGGATAATTATAAGAAAGTTGTTTGATTTTTTTCAGAACAAAAATTATAATATCCATAACTTTCTAAAAATATAATTCTCCTATAACAATTCTACGGGTACTTCTATAGGCAACCACAACTGCCTCAAAATGAACTATTAATGCAAAAAGTAGAGTGCTTTTCAATAATCAACATCCAACAAGCTAGAAAGTTGTTCAGATGGTTTTAGACACCATCCAACCAAAATTTAACCATCAATTTTTCATATTGTTTCATGTTTAAGAAACATCATTTTGATCCTCTTCATATGTTCATAAAATACCTTAACATAAAAATAGCCTTCATGGTAGATCTTGCCATAAAACTAGACTAATACTCCAAAACATATTTTCCTAGTCCTTCCTTTAGTCTCCCACAATGTACGTTATATGATTCACATGTATTCTTCTATAATTGCAACAATTGTGAAAGGATTATCATTAAAAATCATAAAAGTTAATTTGATTGGCATGAAGAAGACTTAGGATCCATTTTGCACAGTTTTTTCACAACTTTGCTTTTTAGAAAGCAGCCAATTGTTTGTTTTCATACAATTTTCTTGTTGGCTTTAGAAATTTCTATATCGACGAGCAATCTTTTCACAAGAAAATATACTAAACTGGGATAATTATAAGAAAGTTGTTTGATTTTTTTCAGAACAAAAATTATAATATCCATAACGTTCTAAAAATATAATTCTCCTATAACAATTCTACAGGTACTTCTATAGACAACCAGAACTGCCTCAAAATGAACTATTAATGCATAAAGTAGAGTGTTTTTCAATAATCAACATCCAACAAGCTAGAAAGTTGTTCAGATGGTTTTAGACACCATCCAACCAAAATTTAACCATCAATTTTTCATATTGTTTCATGTTTAAGAAACATCATTTTGATCCTCTTCATATGTTCATAAAATACCTTAACATAAAAATAGCCTTCATGGTAGATCTTGCCATAAAACTAGACTAATACTCCAAAACATATTTTCCTAGTCCTTCCATTAGTCTCCCGTAATGTACGTTATATGATTCACATGTATTCTACTATAATTGCAACAATTGTGAAAGGATTATCATTAAAAATCATAAAAGTTAATTTGATTGGCATGAAGAAGAAATGTATATTGATAAAGATGTCTATGACACACAATAACGGGTAACATTAATGATCATAAAATTTTCAAGTATAATAGGACAGAATAAAAAACAAGCAATATATATACTGTATTTTTTTTGTATTAGTTATCAAGTTTCTTACAAATTATATCTAAAATGAAGCATCAATTTATACGGCATTAGCTGAAAGTATAATTTAATTGCTAGAACTCTTAAAGTTTGAAAAGTTTAAATAATAGAGAAACTTACAGAAGAAATAAGGCTAAAAGGATTAATAAGAGATTGAGTTCATGAAATATGAACTGCAATTTGTTTGTTGTATATTAGCAATTATTAGACAATATCATTCAAAGTGATACTTCAAATGATAAGTTCGAGTAAAATGGATTTATTAAACAAACAAACCAAGATATATAAATTAGGACAAAAGTTTAAGTTGACAAAATAAAATGAACTACTTAGGATGCATGAATGAAACTTCAATTAAATTGAAAGATAAATTTTATGAAATTATAAACCAATCAAGCAATGTGAACTATGTGCTAGGCAACGATCAAATAACCTTATTTGAGTGAGGTAAAATGAAAAGACTAAAATTGAATGCCTTGTATGGATCAAGTGAGGAACTATCTTATATTAATGGTGGAAAAATGAAAGGTTGAAGAAGTGCACAAAAAAAAGGACTTTGATGGCTTGTGGACGGATGCACCTTATATTTAAAGTGAAAGAAATAGGCAAAATAAATATAAATCATAAGTAATACAGCTAGAGCAGTACAATACAGACTAGCATCTTAAGATGAAATAAACAAGAATAATTTAGCAGGGGATTCACCAAAATAACCACAAATATTTGAAATAGAAATATAAATTTGGCCCAAAGAACATTTTTGGATTGCACAAATAAATATTAAAGAAAGAACACTGCCAAAATAGATAGTCTAATGTGCCTAAAGTGGCCTAAACTCTTTTCTTAATTATATTTAGTGTCGTAGGAAGCAAATAGGGAGTATGAGTTTTTAGTTTGTGTATGTATAGTGAGTGTATGCAATAAGCACGATGTACTGTGTCAAGCATCGGGGAGTACAGTTTGCCAAAGCGCAAAACTTTTGAAATGATTGATAATATTATATATAGCAAATATTAGTCGCATAATGTTGTACAATTACCAAGAAAGGGGAAAAAACATTGATACACCTAAAAATAAAACAATGAATATTTTGTGGAAAAATAGTTTCATAGAATAAATTGCTTGTTAACCAAAATTGGTCATATGTGTAATTCATATGATGCACCTAAAATCTAAACTTATAAATACTATCCACCTTGTCAACCCCAAGAGAAAACTCTTAGAATAACTCAACCGCCTTCCAAAATTTGCAAACATAACAAAATAAGCCACTCAATGGGTTTATTTAGTAGTAGGCCAATGATAACAGCGAGTGGGCCTTACGAACATAAGGATGAGCACCACAATGCCGGAAACACTCCACCCAGGGCCACTAACTGGTGCCATTAGCCTACCAAGGTATTGCATCATTTTCCGTAGCCCCAATTATAATAGTCTCCCCCAAGGCATTGCAAAGCCTCAAGCAGCCCCTACGTGAGGATTATTGTCAAGGGCTGAGTTAAAAAAAAAATTTAGTGAGGTTACAAATTGATGGGTTTAAAAATATGTATTTTCAAAATATGTAACTATAAAAATTTTCTTTGCACCTTTAATTTTCAGTTGATTGGCATTACTTTAAGAAAAAAATAAGTATGATAAATACTCAAATTTCACTTTAAGGAAACAAAAAAAAAATCATGACATAAATCTCCTTGGTTTCATCATTTATTATTTTTAAATGAAATGATTATTTAAAACAGTTGAGTTTGTTATGCTGAAAATGTGTTGATCTGATGCAGTGTTAATAAAATGTTCTGAATACATGTCATTAAGCATTATAATTTTGTCCTCTGTTATTTGATGTTTTTGATCTGCCTCTTATTGCTTAAACTAACAAAAACAAAATAACATGGAAAAATAATTCATTAATAAGGCAGCAAAATTATATTATGATTTAATATGTGAAAAAGTCAAGTTTGACCCTTCAAACGCTAGCCTGATATGATCAACTAATGATCGAACAACACTGACTAGTAGCACATAACTATTTGATGATGGCCCCTCTCCTTTGACCAATATCGAGTTAACTTCACCAAGCCAAGCCACATAAGTGAATGCAGCCAACATAAAGGAGGCACTCTCCTCTCTTTATCTCCCTCCCAACTCCCACAGAAATTACATGGCGGTCCCGCTCCTCTACTACAACGGGATATGCCAGTGAGACTAAGGTCTCGATCTCCACCTAGTTCCCATAGGAAGCATATGGAGGCCTTGCTACTCTTCAATCTACTTATAGTGGGTGATGCCAAAAAAAATTAAGGGCGAATTATGAGTCTGGGAGTGATGATGGGTGGGGGAAGGACTGCAAATGCACACTTAGGGTCTGTTTGGGGCAGTTGCAGCTTATCCAGCATCTGATCTGTATAAGCAATCTGACTGTTTGGTTTGTGCGTTTGGAAAACAACTAATTCTGGATAAATGATCATTCTGCCTCTGTTCTGGATAAGTTGTTTGGCGAAAACAACTGACTTGTAAATTAATATTTCAAATAAAAGGAAATATCACTGGTAAAGGTTATAAATAAAGCTCATTTTCAGCTCATTTGAGAGGTTTTTTCTACAAATGAAAGATCTCTAAAGAAATGTCCAACAACAATTTACCTAGATGATCGTCTTGTTGCATACAACAATAGTAATCGTGTCACTCATCATCCTTTTTAAATGGGACAACAGTCGTCATTTGTCCACAATGCTCCCTAAAATCTAAAGAAAAGGGTACTAGAGACAAATTGTTCATCTTATCAAAGGAAATAATCAACCTAACCAACACAAACTCTTGCTACATTTATAACTTTCATTAAATGATTAACCTTGGGGCCTTTGACATAAATTATGTTGACTAAGAGCAATAATATAAATGTCACTTATGTACTAATTTTTCTACCAAATAATATATTTTTACAATTAGGCATGGCCCATTAAGTTTTCACAACAAAAATTTTACTAAATAAAAAAATATTCTTGTTCTTTGAACGTGCTAAGAAGCTGTAAGTAATGGAGAAGAATGTTTTGAAATTCTACCTTGATGTGCTAATCAATATGCTCAAGGAACTTTGCTCAATTGCACAGAGAAAGCATGGATCAACCATAAGCTGCCAAAGACAAGCAATATGAAGAATTCACAAACAAAGCAAGGATCAAATATCTGAACTTTGCTCAATTGCTCGTTTTGTTTACATATTGAAGTATGATATTTTCATATTTTACTTCAACATCTTCTTTCATATTTTTCATAATGAAGTATGAAACTTTGCTCAATCGAAAGGGGCAATTAAATAAACAGCACTCGATCCCTACAGAGGTCATACAATGAAACAAGATCCACGGAAGTCATACAGTGGAAAAAAAAATGCTAGGATCTTACATTTAACAAAGGTCAATTACATAGACACCACCCAATTATAAATCTAAAACCTAAATAGACTCCACAAAATGCTATGATACAGGGAGGTCATACAGTGAAAGAAGATCCGATCAAAAAAATAGGTAATATCTTACATTCAAATAATTGCTGTGATATGCTTAGTGATGGCAAAAAATAAATAAATAAATAAAAATGTGTAGAGCTCTGAGCACAAAGAAAGGGCGCAGGTTCAGTTTTTCGATCGCATACCCACCATCACAAAGCCCCAGCTCGTTTCCACAGCATTGACTTTAGCGAGCGTAATGGATGTCTTAAGGGTGTGGCCACCGAAATTATTTACAGCCTAGGATGTGGTGCATCGCTTGCCCGCGTAAACTTCCTCCATCTATTCCGCTACAAGCACCATAGGGAGTTCTTTGTCGCGGCTGAGGACAAGTATAAAAAAAAGGGAGAGAAGATCCGAACGAGAATGCCGAAGAAGGAAAGCCGACGAAGGAGGAAAAGAAGGGTTATACATGTCGAGAACGGATTGTCGAAGAAGAGGAGGAGCGTCTAGGGCGGAGAATGCGAACGATGGAACGGCAGATGCGAAAACGATCTCCCATATGCAAAAAAGGGCATAGGAGTAAAACGCTGCAAACGATGGCGGCCCGTGAGTATCATCCCGCGGTCCGCGTGTTTCCTAAACAGTAAACGCTGTTTTGAAATTAGTCGACAAAACATGCGAACCAAACATCATGGCGGAGTTTTTAAAATGCCGTCCGCAGTTTTAAGCCGCCCCAAACGGGCTCTTAATTTAAGCCCGTGGTGACGATGGCTAGGAAGAAGCAGGGAATATATGGGATTTGAAAACCAAAAAAACTATTAAACTAATATATAAGCCAATGAATGATGGGTTTATACATTTTCAAATAGCATCTTCGTTGGGCTATAATGATCTTAAGCAACCCCCGAGCTACAACCCATGTAGGCTTATTGTACCTTAGGCATTGCTTAGCCGTGAACAATTTTGATATGTCGGGTAAGGGAGTAAAGAATGATTCAACCAACATTGTCTAGCAATTATATGAAAGTAAAATTGCTCCATGAAAGTTCTAAATCACAAATTAGTACAAAATGTTATGCAAATAATATTTTAATATTCAGTGTGGTATAGGTTTCAAGTAAAATTGGATAAGCATTTTAAATAATAGTTCCATTAAGCATAAGGACAAAATGATATCAAGCCAAGCAAACAAAAAAAAAAAGAGAAAAAAATAGTTCAAGGGAAAAGGCAAGAATATGCATAAAAAGATACTATAATTTATTGCAAAGGTGGTGATTATCTATTTGTGCAAGAAAACAAATCATGAACCCCATAAAGTAGGAGAGAAGCAAACCTGAATGCAGAATGAAATTCCCAAGACATTGTTTGCTAACCAATGCTTTCGAGAAGCGTACCAAGCACAGAAAAATGTTCCAGGAATGGAGGAAACTATCTGAGACCTGGTGAATTCTACTGTAATAGCTGCACCAAAGCAGAAGAAAACATAATCAGAACATGAAGTAACGAAGTCCTGGTGAAGAAAACCAGAAGAAAACAAAATCACAGCATTAAGTAAATATGTTCACTTGTCTTTTATTGATGGAACTAGGCTTTTGTACGAGTGGAGGAAAAAAAAAGTCTACAAACGAGTTTAGGGGTAAATACAATAAAATGTACAAGAATTGTTGGATAAAAACTAAGATTTTATATATATAAGGATTTAGGAGAAGTCACTGGTCCACCCCGCTATAACATGGAGTTTGCATAAACTAGAAGTATATGATAAACAATAGAATAATTAAGACGAGCAAAATCATCACTTAGCAAAATTAAATAGGAAAAAAAATTGAATATTTTAATCATGGGCAGAGCTATAGTGGGGGACGTGCCCTCACTGATCAATCCCAAAAATGATAAAATTGCAGCCCAAACCGAACAAGAGCTCATTTATCTTCAGGTTGGCTTAAGTGAGCCCGGCTTAACTATAAATAAATTATGACTTAATATTTATAATCAGAAATAAAATTTTTAAATAGAATAAAATTGATTAAATCTATCATAACCTTTCAATCTTCAAGCTCACAAAACGCTCTACATTTTTTAGGCATTCAACTGTGCTATTCAATTTAAAGAATAGAAATATATAGTCTCTTTCCAAATGTGGGATTACAAAGTGCAAGAAACTTTCACTTTCATGCGTCGAACTTCACATTAAAGTTTAATAGGGGCATTTATATGCATACCACCCAATTCCTATGTATCTACATATCTACACCTAAACCCTATTTTTTACATTTATACCACCTAAATCTTTCATATCACATAAAAAATATAGGTTAAAATTGTAGTTTAGGTGTATGTAAACCATCCTAAATAATAATAAACATAAAAAAGAAACGGATTGCACAAAGTTTTCATATTTTAAAATTTTTTTATAATTTAGTTTTGCTTTCTCCCAAAGTATGTTTGTATTAAATAAAAATATTTTTTTAGAGACTTGAGCAAATTTAATTATTTTCATTATAGTAATATAAGAAGCATTTTAATTTTAAATTAATATTTAATCTTATTTTATTTAAATTATATTATATTTTAAATTATAATTTATAGTAAGTTTTAAGTCTATATCGAGTTTTAATAGAGCAGCTTAACGAGCTTGTTCATGAGCTATAAATATAATAATTATTTTTTTTTAATTTGTTTTTTTATATGTTTTTAGTTAATAATATATTTTTAGTTCCTTAGTGTTATTTATTTTTTTATTTTGGGTTTTTGTAGGATATGTTCATTGCGGGAACTGAAACTACATCGATTACAGTAGAATGGATATTAGCGGAGCTCATTCGTCAACCAAAGATCCTTGCTCGAGCCCAACAAGAGCTAGACTCCGTCGTCGGGCGCAATCGATTTATATCTGAGTCGGATCTATCAAAATTTCCTTTCCTCCATTCCATTGTCAAGGAAACCTTAAACATCTATTATCTTAGTGGGATCATCAGATGATCAACTTTTAATGTGATCAAACCATCTAAGACAATTCTCTGCTTGTCTGCCGCTGGAGCTACACCAACCCTTTGGTGGATGCATTCGTTTGGTATTTTGTCTGTAAGTGACAAGTCATCTACCTAAGCATTCTCATCTCAGCAACACGTAACTTAGTTTTATGCTTCTCTTTTATAGGCCAACGTTAGGCGCCATAAAGCATTGCATGTCTCACCATCATCTTATAAAATTTTCCTTTAAGCCTAAGCAGTGTTTTTCTATCACACAAAAGACCCAATGCATTATCTATATCACCATCACTTTGAGCAATAGACCCGAGATATCTAAAATGTTCACACCTTTTAATGATTTGAACACCAGTAGTTATAACTCTGTCACTAGATCTACTATTACTAAAACTATATTTCCATTTATTTAGTCTTAAATCTACTCAAACGAAGGCCTTTATACTCCAATGTAGACCCTGATAATTCAAGTTTTTCCTTAACACATTATCTAATCTTATCCACAAGAAGGATATCATCGACGAAAAGCATACACCAAAGTATGTAATCCAACTGAAATAAGAAAATACTTTGTCAATTCTCATTCTGTTCGAACACAAGTAACAACTCTAATATGCATATCTTTAATGACTTGAATATGAGTCATTAACACTTTTTTTCTATAACTCTCCAAAGAATTTCTCTAGGAACCTTACCGTAAGCTTTTTCTACATCAATAAAAATCATATGTAGATTCTCCTTATTCTCATTGTACTCCATCAAACCTCTCAATAAATGTATAGCTTCCATAGTAGACTTGTCCGTCATAAATCCAAACTGATTATAAAAAATCTCAGTATCACATCTTAATATAGGTTTAATTACTCTATCCCATAATTTTAATGTATGACAAATTAACTTAATTCCTCTATAAATTGCACACTCTTGTGAATCAAGTGCTACTCTCTCTCTACTCTTGAGGCATATTTTTGGTTTTTAAAATAATGAGTTTAGTAAGCCAAGAAACTCCCAAATCGCCTAAATATCTCAACAGCTCAATTGGAATATCATTAGGTCCTACTAATTTTGCACCTTTTGTTTTCTTTAAAGTCTCATCAACTTCTTTCTTACTAATGTGACGGTAAAAATTAATAATTTTATTATTGATAATGATATTAAGATCGATAGGGTTGATCGTATTTTGAAAAACTTCATTGAAAAGTTTATCAAAATATCTCGCCCACTTATGTTGAATATCTTCCTCTAAGATTATTACATAGTATTATAAATAAAAATGTGTAGCATGTGTATTTAAATAAATTCATAATTCTATTGGGTTTAAAAAATCTTAAGTAGATTTCATGTTATAATATCTAATAAAATAATTATATTATTAATAATAAAATAATTATACTATTATAATTATTTCAAATAATATTTTTATATTTTTTGTTAGTATATTTTATAAATTTTATATTAGAATTAAAAAAAATAATGGTTATCCTTAAAATTATTATATTGTGCCCCATCAAATAAAATTTTTGTTTCGCCCCTATTTTTAAGATTAGGGACATCATCCAACACTTGAAACATAAGAACTTGAGAAAAATAATAAAGCAAACTAAACTCTTTGATGGAAATCTCTTCATCGTTAGACATGAGTGCTCAAGTGGTGTTGATTAGGTAAATTAAAGTTTTAGATGAATATAAAAGGGCCCAAAACAGTATAAGACATTCATAAAAATCAAAAACTAAACCCAAAGGGTCACATTGTTTATAATGGGTTAAAATACAAATATGGGAATATTCAAGTGGAAGGAAACAAAACATAATCATAAACTTCATTCAAACTCTCTAAGTTGGCATTATAAATCCTTATTTTCCATTCTTTCCCATTAAGTATCGTGTGAGGTGCTAAACACATTCTCCGCATCTCATTTTGAATAATAATATAACAATGCAACCTTATATACACTTAATTTTCTTCCTAATGCTAAGACATTATTTTTATTGACTTCTCTAGCAAGTACATATTCATATGCCCAAACCGCCTAAAAGTTTAGTTTTGATTTTCTTATATTCAATAGATGTCATTGCACCCTTTCTTACAATATAATAATTATTTAATTTATCCATCATAGCTTTGCCACACATCTATCTTAATATTGTTATTTCCAATGCTCTCAACTTCGATATAAATGACTTATTTACAACCCAATATTTTGATTCATATTACATCAACACTTAACTGAGGTTTTGGAAAATTTAATTTTTAGCCTCCATGATATCCTCTTATCTCTACGGTTCTTATTTTAACTTCAGATGTTATATGCTCATCCAATCTTCTATTAATCAATATAATAGATCAAATATTAAACCTTTTAAAACTATCCATCATCTTTATCTTCTAATACATGAATGATAATTGTCAAAATCACAAACACTAAAAATTATATAACTTTTAGTCCTCTATTTTTTGAACATTTACTCCATTATACTAAACCCTTATTTCAATTAATATCTCACAAATTAAAACCATAACATCCATACACAAGGCACATTGCGAATACATTCAATAAACATCTCTATAATCAATATATCTTTGACATAATTAAAACTCCAGGTCAGCCTCCAAATAATTCTAACACTAGTTAAGGTTTAATCACATTCATCTTTAATAAAGTCAATATATATTTGGCATGAACCTTTTTGACTTCAAGTACAACAAATCAATTCCAATGGTACTCAATTATATGATTTTTGAAGATTAATAATAATCATTTGAAGATTATTTCTTCTTTCTCTATACTTCTCATGCAAAAGTAATTTTCATGGTAGAATTTTCTAGCATGAAACCAAATCAGTTATCCAAAATTAATATAATATTTTCAAACCTACATTCAGTACTCTCTCCTATAGTTTCATAAGATGACTCACAAAATTGATTTCTCTATATTAGCATGCTCTTAAATATTGCTCTTATTCTTGAATAATAATATCAAAATCATCTCAATGACACCTACAACAATAACAACAACAAGCCTTTATCCCACTACATGAAACATTTTTCTCCATTGTACCCTATTGAATGTCATATTTTCATTTAATTCTAAGAAATTAAGAAACTGTAAGTTCCCAAACAATGTAAATACAAGGTAGCACCCTTCATTGGTTTAGTAAAAAATTGTTGGATAAATAAACATATTCATAATTTCATTTAATTCACAATCAAAAGTTTCATCCATGGACTAAACAGAGTTTTATTAGTCAAAACCATCTTATGCAATGGATTCCATCCACAGCTTAACTTGATAAAATGTAAGAAAAAAGAAGAAAATTTATCGACATGAAGCATGCATGTTATCAAGGAAAAAAAAATGAAAATGCATTAGAAAACGGTGCATACATACAACGAAAATAAGGAGCATGCCAAACAATGAGATCCTCATTCCAATGTTTTGGAAGAAACCGCTTAATTGAAGGCAATAATGTCGCTCTGCAATATACAATGTCAAAATCAAATAAGTTAACCAAAATAATACTAGATCAATAGACATGGTTTTAATCAAAAGATTCCGAGACTAGTACAGTTTAAATAAATGATTAGATATTGTTTTGCCATGAACGGAAGACATACGAAAGAGCGATGATCCCGAGCACAAAAAAGTAACATGTGAGTACAGCATTGACCAAGTCTTTTGACAAAAACTTGAAGAGTAAAAACAATGACAGGAGCACTGCACTGCCAACTAGGGGGAAGCGCATTGCATGTTCATTTGACATTGTTTCCTGCATGATTATAATAGATCTTTATAGGAAAATACAGCAAATAAATGCTACAAGTACTAAAAAAACAAAATATAAAAGCAAGATCCTTTGAGGATATTAATTTCACTCACAGATGGTGGTGTGGGTTTGACTGATCTGTAGCACCCAACATATACAGTCAAGCAAGCTGACAATATTACATTTATATTTGGATTTACCTTAATGAAAAGTGGTGCCAAAGTCAGACCTGTAGAATAATAAGCATGAGTCAACATAGACTCCTATTACGTAATCAAGCTTAACAAATTTTTTCTGAGTTAAGCATGTCATTCTAAATTTGTTGTGGAACAAGAAACTATAGCCACTGAAAATCCTAAAATAGGAAACAGATTTCCAGAAAAGAGCTTCATTCTGAGAACAAATTCATGCAAGTGCTGCTACATAATCTACAGTTATTCAAATTCTGACTCATGCATTAACATGAAAATTGGAAAGTTCAGAGATGTTTTGCTAGGGACATCCATATAACCTGCCTATTGAATCAAATAATACAAAATTTGCATATTCAACATAGTAAAATAGTTTTGCAGACTGGAAAAAGCTCATTCGCTCTAAATATTAAAATCAAATATAATTGAACGCCATAATTATTGTTCTTCAAAAGTTGCAAATTTTACCTAAAAGAGCGACATTTGCTGCACGCTCATGGTTCTTCATTGTCAGGGATTGATGTGTAACAAAACCAAACTAAATAATAAAGTTATATTGTGACAATACTGCATCAGCTGATTGAAACTTTTATTATTGTAAGGATTTCAACTTCCTTTCACTGTTTCAAGCAGGATCAGTGACTGCAGCCCTCCTCCCACCTAAAGCCCTGCAAGCCAGAATCAAATAGACAGACATTAACAAAACTATAAACATAAGAAACCAACAAGCGTATCCCACTGAATGCAGATCAACAAGCATAAAAAATTTGATAATTGTCAGTATGCGGGAACAGATAAAACAATTCGAGATTAATAGAACAAACTAGATCCCCTCCAACATTATCGCCCAGCATAAGAAACGATAGCGAGCAAATATGACATCGGAGCGCGAGTAATTGATCGAAATGGTAAATAAGAAAAACGAATCTAACTAACTAGGGGTAAATAGGAGAAAACATAAAAATTTCTCATACAAAAAATATGAAAGTTTTAACTTTTGATCAAGCCAAAGACAACCGCATTCATCCTCAAAATGATCCGTCGATCACACCCCCTTAACCCCTAATCGTCTCGCATTTAACCTTGATCCCGATCTATCACCCACGTCAGTAAGGAATGAATAAAACCCTAGATCAGTTACTAGAGCGGCAGCGAAAAGGGGGCAGTAAGAAATCAAGGAAGAGTGAGAACCCCGAGGATTCGGCGGCGATAAAGAATGTCGGGATCTGTCGCTGGGGAAAACCTAGATCAGTTAGTTGCTCTTCCTTCTCTCGCCTCGCCGGCCGCGCTGCTCAAAGACCTGCACGTGCCGTATCAACACCGATAAGCATTCCACACCTTTTTCGCACGTGTATGGCTTTTTCATCCGAGCCAGCTCAAGTTAATAATTTTATGGAGTTCTAGCTCAAGCTTAGTTTAAGCCTATTAATTTGAACCGGCTCAGATGCCAACTTATTTATTAGAAAGGAGAAAAGTAATATTAAATTTAGTTAGTGTTATAATAAAATTATAAATATAATGAGCAGGCCACCACTCTAACCTTTGTGGCAACAAACGTCGTCACAGTTCACTGCTACATGTTATATGACCAAATATGATACATGTGGTCCACATGTCATTCAATTTTTGAATTCAATCTATGTGGTCTACGGATGTCATCGCAACTCACTAGTCGTCATTATGACATACATGACCAACTAAGAACTACGCGACCCACAGTTCGTGCAGCTCCCGACTCAAACACTACGGCTTATGAAAGTCATCATACGTCGCCATTGCAGCCTATGTGGTTCATAACTCATGCAAATCTCCACCTTGATCTCCATGGTATGAAAATGTCATCACTGCTCAACACTTTAACCCACGTGACCAAAACGACATACTTGGTCCATAGTTCGTGCAACTCCCAGCTCTGGCTTATATGATCTACAGACATCATCATAGCTCATCGTTGCAGCCTATGTGACCAATCATGACCTACGTGTTCAACGTCTCATGCAGTTATCAACTCTGACCTCTGCGGCTTACATATGTCATCACAACTCACTGTTATAACCTACGAGATCAACTACAATCTAAATGGTTCATAGCTCGTGCAATTTTTTACTCCGTTTCTTATGGTTTACGGACGCTATCACAGCTTACTATTACTGCGAATGGGACCAACTGCGCCCTAAGCGATCCATGAATAGTGCAACCCATGACTCCAGCACCTATGGCCTACAAACGTCAACACACCTCACCACTACGGCCTACGCAATCGGCAAGCTCATGCAGCCCCCAACTCCAGCCCCTATGACCTACAAGTATCATCCCAATTCACCACTACGACATATGTGTCTAGCTATGAGTTATGTGGCTCATAACTTCTACAACTTTCTACTATGATCTCTACAACCAAATGACTATTCTGAAGCAACGATCTGCACCTCATGAGACCAGCTATCAACATAGCTTGATTTCAACTACGACCTATACAACAAGTTGTTGCCACAACCACCATTCACAACATTCATGTCAAGCTACAAATTTCATAACAATTTGCTACGACTCTCACAGTTTGGCTATCACCAATAACTGCATTCATTATGACTAGATTACAGTTCTTATCAATGAACCGTTGTTGTTCATTTAAAATGATCAACTTTATCACTCTGTGTTCCCTAATTCAGAAGAAGATTGGACACGCGCACTCACCATTCACAGTTAATTATTTCAATTAGGATAGACAATGTGGTTTTTTTTTCTCCTATTTTTAGAGCTTTTCACATAAAATTTTGGGATGTCTCTTTATATTTAATTTAATTGCCTGAGTGTGAGTTGAGTCTTCGTGCAACGCTAAGATGATAATTCATCATGTTACCGATACGAAACAACCGTTACGCATCACATGTATTTACATATATAATATCTAAACTTTAATTTTTACATATATGCTGGTATTTACATGCATGAAAAAAAAATGTGTTTTCACCTTTTTTTAAGTGACAATAGTATTTTTTAAATGTTATGTGCAAATTTTGGGCCGTGTAAAGGATAGAACCAAAATTTAGGTGTTTAGATATGTAAATATATACAAATTAGGCGTTAGGTATGTAAATGCCTCCAATGTCAAATACAAAGATCAATTAGATAAATAATAGCACTGTTTACAAACATAACACCCGAAATATTACTATTTACAGATCAAACACTCACTTTCATACTTTTTCCAAATTCTCACTCAAATATCGCAAGCCACAATAAAAGCCCACTTCCATCTTTTTTATTTTTGTCAAATTCTCAACGGCTTGATCTTGTCACACATAAATACACGATTCATTAATTAAAAAATATCACATAGGTCCTAATTTTTGTAAATAACAATATTTTCGAGTACTATGTATGTAAGTATCCCCAAATAATAATAAATAAATTGATATACATGTAAAATATCATTTTTATCATATTGAATAATTTAAATATACCATTTTTAATTTTCAAATAACCATATTTTAAGTATATTTTGTATCTATATATTTTTACAGGAGCCGATACAAGTCGAGTCAGAATAAGCTTGTGCTTGGCTTGTGAGCCATCGAGCTCAGCTCGCATGCCTTTTATCGAGTCGAACCCGAGCATTTACACCAATTAATTGTTTGAAAAAAAGTTCTAGTTGCAGAATCCAGATGCATATTGAACTGTTTATATGGTATTATTATATTTTGTATAGTAATATTATATATATTATATAAATGTGTATTATATAACTATAACATTATTATACATACAGTTCAATATACAACAAAATTAAGTATGTATTATTCTCTCAGTATGCCGCATACCCCCGCCTGTTGGTCGACCTCCACGATATAAGAATTTTCATGTTGGGGATTTGAATCTTATCTGACACAGTTGATTTTATGAAGGTGGTGCTCGAATTATTAGGACAGCTGAAAACTCCGGTAATTGCCATTCCTTAATAATAATAATAATAAAAGTTTTATTCTCTTTCTTTTTCTTAAGCCTCTCGATAACTCCATTCCCAGTCTTCTCGAGCCAATCGCACGCGCCCACGAGCGAAGCGGCGCGCGCCATGGGCCCCTAAACACGCTCTTTCCGCACTTTCAACCGGTCCGGTCACCCGCGCTACACGAGTTGCTCTACTTATGTCCTATCAAAGAAAGACATGTCATCAAATATTAATCCACGTCACTATTAAACGAATAAAATAAATAACGGCGAGTTTCG